CACAACAACCAAAATCAAGACTATTCCTCCTTCTGAATGAACCAAATCAATTTATCACATGTAGATATATAATAACAGTAGACAAACCCCGCCGAGATTAAAGTCAACAAGAGGTGATAAAGAAGAACAAGCAAACCACGATATTGTAACAAGCACAATGATGCCTTGCCATCAGGATGTTCTGGTTGAGGAAAAGTGCTAGACTCAAATATTCTAACTTGTCTTTCTTCTAGATACAAATACACCAAGAGACTACCCGCGGGGTTTATCCAGCCTAACACAAAGTTTCCAACCGCAGTAAGTGTGCCCATAATAGTGAGCGAGTGCTCAAAGATTAAGCCACCCATACAAACCAAATATATAAGGAAGGCCAGCGCCAACCCGCATGAAGCCCAAATACAGGGCACAAGTGGAGTCGAGCCACTCAATGTCGCCCAGCAGAGAAACACAACCAGCAAATATATAAGAGCCTGGGAAATATAGGAGCCCAAACACCAGTTGACAGTTGTGTATGACGAAATATTAAACCAGCAAGTAGTATTAGAAGGAGGCACCAAAGTGTCGTAGAGGACGCTCGGGTTTGTATAAGCAACCCAGCCAGCCGAGCCCAGTAAACATGCAAATGCCCCTAAAAACACGGCCAAGTAGCAGATAATAAATGGGTTTATAGCTTTTGAATAGAAAGGTTGAGGACCAACTGCCGTAGACAACATCTCTGGTACCTTAGTTTTGGCCGGAACTCCCACAAAGACGTATTTTACCAGAATAGAGATAAGCGAAGCAAGTAGCGTCAGCGAAAATAAAAAGAAAGAGGCCGTGTTGAGAGGATAGATAGGCTCTTTCATTGGATCTAACTTATAAAAGTACCAGCTCAGCCCTATATGAACAGCTGATGTGTTAATAGCCCAAATGGCAAGACCCGCACCCAAAATGGCAAGTATTGACTGATGCAACCGCTCGTTCTTGCAATAGAAAGAGGCAACACGCTCTTTGGGAACATAAAATGTTGAAGGCGAATCAAGAGATTCAGTGGCTATAGAACAAAATGAGCCACTACTTTCTGAGCAATTAGAAGGCTTTAAAATCATCGGGCTAATCTCAAGACATACTTTTTATTTCGCCAGATTGATTTTTGATTTGGAAGATTAGAATTACAGCAAGCTGCATTGTACAGCGTGGCTATATACTAGCACTAGAGATACGCGCCTTCGGGCAGATTAGTAGACTTTTGGGACCAGATATCGTCTTTGAGATATAGGAACATGCGAGTTTGCTTGTTTAGATCTCGCCAGCACCGTATGTGATGAATCAACTAGTTTCCACTACTAGACGCAACCCAGTTATTCAGCAAGCGGGTTGAAGTGCTTGGCTATACGACTACTAACTATGTTGCTGAAACGCGAAAGGGGTGAGTTTCCAAAAGCCCAAAAGGCCGTATGTGCTGACAACTTGGCAAGAACCAGATAAGCACTTATGCACGCCACAAGCATTAGTATGCCGTAAACAATAAGACTAATGGCGCATTTGATTATTTTCGTTCTACAGATATGGTTTTGAAGATAAAAGCTACCCGTAAACAAGGATGGTGTCCTAATAACATAGGCAATAATAAAGATAGTTGTGTATAAGAAAGGCATAAGCGCAAGACATTCCCATAACAAAAGCCAAAACACACTACCCACTCCCGTAGCTCCCGGAGTGGTGCACGCCAGCACAATGGCCGTAATACAAACACTGATATAGGTCAAAAACACAACAAAAATCAGAATCTGCTTTGGCCGACTATAACCAAAGTCACAAACAACTAGCAGGCACAACAACGCAAAGATAAAAGCCGCCCAGGTATCACACGCAAAGTAATGGGACTTCTGTAATGCCAGAGAACTTCTTGACCCCCAGGCCTGGGCATGCTGTTTGGCAATAGTATCAATAGCCACCCAGATAAGGCCGCGATAGATATATACCACCACCATCTCACCTATACTCAGTCCGAAAAGCACTAACTGATATAATATTGTCAAGATCGAGTCCGAATAAAGCCAGCCCTGGCGACCCGGCGAGAACTTAGCCACCAAGATTATCACAGTATCATAGATAACAAAGGGCATAGTTTCTAAGGCAATCAAGCAAGGCACAACAAGATAGATCGCCCCAAGCGGATATTTCGCAAACATGTACAGGTCTATGTATCCATCTAGAAATACCTGCCTAAAGAGAACCAAACTGATAAAACTCCAATAGAAATAGCATATCAAAGTACTGTGCAAGAACAAATGAATATTCTTTCGATATATATTAGAAGTTCCATCAATATGAACGATAGGACTCATAGTAAACTTCTCAGTTCTTTTGTATTCCCGAGAAGACCTCACCTTAGAAAATGCCTTCATACGGAAAGATCTGCCCGTTGATTCTGCTCTACTTCCTTCCAAGTACATCGCCAGAACAAATCAACTCAATTAGATAAGCATTCATACATTGATATTCAAAATAAAGATTAAAACCAAACCATTCAATTCAAAACCACAACCAACAAGTCGGCCAAACCATATCTCCACACCAGACATTATAAGAGTTTAAATTAAAACGGATCAGAATGAAAACATCATCACTATCAGACAGGGATAACTTTAACAATCATCACATCCTGTGATAGCACGAACTAACCACAGGGGGTAACAAAAAAAGACAAAAAATAGGAATTACCGCATTTGGAAATATTCTGGCACAATTATTTGGAAATTACCATGTCGTCATGAATTACCAAAATTAAGCCCCAACCATAAGACCAAGCAAAACAACATATAATCAAGCCAAATACGAGTTCAAGTTTATTTGCAGCTAGAGCAGTGCTAGAAGGTCCCGAGAGTTAAAGATAAATAAAGGAGCACAAACAGACAGATAGCCCGCTGAACCTATCTCAGGAGCAATTATCAGTAAAACCCGGATAGTTACGAGAGAGAGTAAAAACTCATTGCGATTTAGTGAGGTCGGAGTGCACACGCATCCTGCCGCCAAATTCAGAAATTCATCATTAGATAACGTTGCATCCTTCAGCTGGCACATACCCCGCATCACTCCCATGGCCGCCTTCGAGTAAAGCCGGAAGTCTTGAGGGTCCATTACTCGCAGAATGTATCCTAAATACTCCACACAAACCCGAGCCATTTCAGAAACAGTAACATTATAGGCCGGCAGCATAGTAAGTGCATCGCCTTCTGGATTTACCACATGAGCATCAACTACTTTAATAATCTCACTAGCCAGATCCCGTTCAAAGACATTTGCATCCGGATTCGAACCAGGACAGGCCACTGAAGCCGCACAAGTGGCTAGCATCGAGTCCAAGATTGCTTTAATATGAAACAGCTCTTCTTCTGGCAGTCGCCTATACAGCCCAAAGTCATACGCATCAAAAGTCCGCACGATCTTACGGGCAGCTCGAATGGACAACATACGGCGGTGACTATCACGTACATCAGCTCTAGGCAGCTGCGGGCGCAAGAGCCGATTTACTTGCACACTTTTCTCATGTAACCGCAAGTCCAAACCCGAAATATTCGAAACATTCCTATCCTTACAAGCGGCAATGAATCGGTTCACATATCCATCCCAGCGGAAGTGCAACCGCACCCAGTGCACTCGCCGGCCATTCACACAATCAACCACAAACCCAGACATAGGCGGATAGAGACAAGAAAGGGCCAGGTCCAAGTACTCACTAGGCTCTTCATCCGTATTCTCAGGAGCCAAAGCCACCACCTCTTTCTTATCAACTACCGCCGTAATATGTCCACCAAAGGCAAACAACAACTGAGTCCTAGTAATAATAACCACCCCATTAGTCAGCTCAAAAGAATCCACAAAATCATCAGCACAATCTGGAAAGACTACACCAGCGGCATTAAGAGCATGGATCTTTTTAAAGCGTTCGGCGGCCTTAAGTAGTTCATCCAAACGGTTCATGTGCATAGTCAGACTAGCCGCTTCATAAAAAGCCGATTGTTTCTTCAAGCACTTAATGGCCTCCTCAGTGTACATCTTGTATTTGATCACTCGATGGTACAGATCCACAAACAAGAAGCAAAGATTACATTGGAACTTCCTTTCTGCCGCTGCAATTTCAGGGCAGCCTGCACTTCTATACCGAGCTATACTATCTTCAACTGAACGAATGTACTTGATAAATTCCGGCGAGTACAATACCCGTGCAATCTCTGATAAGTAATCACCAAAACTTAGCTGTAAGTCCGCAAAGACACCTTTTTTACCCTCTAACCGGCCCATTGCCTCCACCAACCGAGCAGCCGCCTCCTGCTTAGCCAGTCCAGTATAAATCATGGCCGCATAGTCCGCAGAAGCCTCTTTGGCCACGTACAAGTCCACATCAGCACCTAAGACTTCCTGGGGTAAGGCTCGTAAGACTGAGTTAGCGAAGGCCGCAAAGAACATCTCAATAGCATGTAATAAACTGGAAAAGATCGCCGTATGATCAATATTGTACAACCACTTTCCAATCTCTTGAATGCATTGTTTGCTCTGGACTAGGCGACGAATAAAGGACAGCTCACTAGCAAAGAAGTTCTGTTCAAAGCCCGCCAGAATACCCGAGTCCTTAACCGACGTTTCTATCTCAGAAACTGGAGGTGCCACAACTACTTCAGTCTCTTCATGAAGAACAATTGAGTACTTAGTTGTAAAGAGTTCTTCTGGTGTCTCTGTTTCAAAGACGGCCAGAGGTTCAATTAGTTTCGACCGTTTAAGAGCAGTCGAATCGGACGAGAACAATCCCTCGGCATACGCATCATTAGCCGAAATCTTCTTCTTCTTACCCAGGATCTTTGATCGAAACATATGCGAAAGTCCCGAAATCAACAAGTCGGCAATACCCGTGCTTGGTGGGTGGCGAGAAGTAACTTGAGCTGCTTTATCAGCCGGTTTCAAAGCAGTGATCTTTAGTAACTTCTTCTTATGCGAGGACCGGCCAATACTCTGTGCCTGGATAATACGCATTGCCGCATAGGCAGCCATAGAAGCTCCACTAGATTCAGTATCTGAATTCTCTGTACTATCAAAAGGCACACTATATTCATTCCCAGCAAAGACAGCTCGGCCAAGTCCATTTTCTTCTTTATTAAGCAGAACTGGGCCTTTAGTTGTCAGAATTACGTATATCGTCATCGTAAACTAAAAATCGGGACTATAAATATTTGAATCGACCTGATATCATTCCA